GCATTAACAAGTTCAGTTTGTATTATTTACAGTTATTGTTAGGTTGATTAAAATGTAAATGACACAAGTAATTACCGGGAAGTGTTATCTTTATACAATGTAACATTGCAATACAGATATGCAAATTAGTTATACAGTTCATACCAAATTAACTTTTAGTTACGTGATTAAGCTTGACCGACACAGCGCAACGTTGCCCACTTTTATATATTTTCTTGAAATCAAAATATTTTAGGAAATAAAAATAAATTAATTATAAATATATAAACAACTATTATTTACATCAACAAACTCACTTTCTTAACAGCACTTAAGGGACATAAAGAGCCATTACTACCACTTTCCCGTTTAAAATATTTTAGTAAAGTTACAATGAGTTTTTCACGGCTATTAAGCTATCTTGTACACATCGCACTAAAAGAGGTTCTAAAAAGAGCAATGTTCGATTGCATAGTCTGCTAGTAAACATCGCAACCAAAAATAAAGTGTCAAAACGAATGACAATGTCAGGAAATAAATAAATGCATCTATCGCGCCCTCGATTACGTAACTAAAGGTTTAATTAATATCAGATATATATGGGCATCTCTGTCTATAATATTTTTGGTAAATACAGGAACCTGTTGCTAATTTTTTAGCCGGCAAAAAAAAGTTTTTTTAATTTTACTCAAAGTGAGTTATTTGGGTCGTAAATGACCTAAATACACAATATTTTCATGGTGTCTGTCCGTCTGTCCGTCTGTCCGTCTGTCCGTCTGTCCGTTTGTCCGCCTGTCCGCCTGTTCGTCTGTCTGTAACACGATAAATCAAAAACTGCTAAACCGATTTTAACCAAATTTGGCACAAAAATACTGTGGCATCCGAGAATCTGGCCATTAGTTTTTGGTGGGGGTGGGGGTTGGTAAGGGGGTATGGGCGGGGGTTAAAAGGTTTAAAAAATTGTAACTCCAAAATTACCGTAGCTAGCGAAACGCCGTTTTCAATTTAAGATTAGGAATAATATTTGCAACAAAATTTGTAATAACATCAAAATCAGTCAAAGTCTCAGTTTTTGAGATATTCCGTGTTTCCGTAGTCCGTTTTTGAGAAAATCTATGTGGAGAACTCTAAAATCGGACGCGACCTCAGGTGGCGGATAGGGGAAATAACCGCGGCCCAAAATTGGAAAAATTCCTTAATTTGAAACTAAAAGAACTGCCTACCAACTTTTTATTAACATATTTTAGTATGGGCGGCTATACGTGCCTCCCGGCGCCAATTTTTAATCCTTAATTTTAACGGAGACTAAGTAATGTTTTTCGCTAGTTTTCATATTCAAAAACTGCGAAAGAAATAAGCTATTTTATTAAACTTATACCAAAGTTTTTGAAGTTTTGCAGTCTAAAAAATGTTAATAAACTTTTCTCTAAAGAATACAAAAACCAGATAAGTTATTTTCATTAAAATCCCTACGGAGGAGTTTTTCAAAGAAATGTTTCGATTAAAACTATAACGTTTTTGTAAATGCGCTATAAAAGTTAAGTTCAAACTTTAATTAACTTTGCTGTTTGTTTTAAAACACTGCAAAAACTTAAAGTATTTGATATTTTAAAGACATTTTAGATGTCTAGTTCGTTTCAACTCTTACCTCTAACCTTATGAAATAGATTCCAGTGGGATAGGGAAACATGTTTAAAGCTGGCCCATTTTTCGTAACAACAAGTTAGCGATCGATGCATGTCGATATATCTTTATAACTATTGGCTTTGCAGTTTTTTCTTATTTTTATGTCCTTACAAATTATGAAAAAAGCACTAAAAGCTAGTTCTTAATCAGTGTTCATGTTTCTTTTCATCATTCAACACTGGGTTGTGTTTGTTGGTTTTGTAGATTTACTAGTAAAATATTAACTACCGCGGTATACTCACGAACACTTCGAGCGCAGATGGAATATTTATTAATATTTATATTCGCGCGAACGCAATGATTTTTTGTTCGGACTATTTATTCTGCTTTTACTTTTTATTCTGCTTACTATTTTTTCTGTTCGGGCTAAAATGTTCAAATCTGGACGCACCTTTAGATACAAAACCTACACTTTATACGTGATAAACACTTTACTGAACGCACGTTTCACTATGTTATGCATCATCAATAGATTATTAAAACATGAGTTTTTATCATCTGCTGATGATGCTAACCTACTGCATGATGCGAGGGGTGGAATTCATGTAATTCCACTATTGGAATTACATGTAGATACATGTTTTTGGCAGTCGCTTGGTTGGTAGTCTCATGGCGTTCGCTTATACATACATACATACATACAGCCGTTACTCGCTGACGAGTATTCGACACACATAAAGAAAATGGTCACGCAAGGCGTTTTCTTTCATGAGCTTTTCTGTGGCTGAAAAGCCCGATACGTGATGTTTTCTGCCTACCGCACTTCGGAAATTCAAAAATTTCATTGCTTTGTTGCCTCTTTACTTTTTGGTTGCCGCTGTTAACTGAGTTTACAACCCTTCGTGGAAAATGTCCTTGTACCTTTTCAGTTGTCCACCCGGTCTCCTCTTACCGTCTACAAGCTCACCGTAAAGCAGAGATTTTGGCATGCGGTTTTCTTGCATTCTGCATACGTGACCAGCCCATCGTAAGCGGGATTTTGTGACCATGACTTCAATACTCTCGCAGTTAGCTTTTTCAAGGACCCATACGTTTGAGACATGATGGAACCACCGGACTCTTAGGAATTGTCTAAGGTGTCTCTGTTGCAACTTGTTTAATGCGTTCATGTGTCGGCGGTACGGCACCCAGGTTTCGCTCCCATATAACATGGTGGGGATTATAATTGCTCGGTACACTGCAAGTTTTCTTTTTGTACTCAAGTCGTGATTGTTGAAAACCCTGTCTTTTAATTTCCAGAATGCTCTTGAGGCGCTACTAATCCTGTGCTGAATAGTACTTCTCCGATTTTTTTACTACACTAATTTATTCCACTAATTGCGAGGTTCTGAATGAAGCTTTAACGGTCTACTAATACATTGAGCGCAGAAACGATTCCCAAAATAAATCTTTGTTATACGCAATGTACTTTTTAAAACATTATAAAGTTAAGAGACAGACACTGAATCTGCAACTCTACCATGCAAAATGCAGAATGCACGATATTTAATGGGAAAGTTCTGAGCACATTGAACGTTTTTTAAACATAAACTTTATTTATTAACTAATAAAACTATAAACTTTCTTTATATTTTTTTCCATAAAATGTTTAGTCCTTATACGTTACTAAAAAGTTGGGTGATTTATATTCCTAAAGTATTTCCTTGATTGTTAGAATTTAGTTGATCGTTAAGAATGTATATTCTACACCTGCCAAGCAATATAATAGGGATCACATCTGTTAGCCTAAATCCAAACCCCATCTTTAACCTCTGACATTTCCGGCCATTTCTGATCCCACCTGATCATCAGAAGGCGAAATGTCACCGTGTACCCTTTAACTACGCAAACCGACAATTAAAATGGGTTTCGGTCCGCCTCGAGGCACGTAAAGGTTAGCAAATTGCGGTAAAGACGATCCATCCCAGCCAACGATATCACCGAAACCGTCTGCAAGTCTGCATAATATTCCGCCGATGCATATTTCACGACGGGATATAAATAATATTGCGGATATCGCGACATTATGTTACAACGGGATCGTTTTAATTGAGCCATGAATTGACGTCGAATGTTTACGTTTGACGTATACATCAGAGTCTGGTAGAACACGCAAAACAACTTACTGTTTTGTTGTGTTAGAATACAATAAGTTATTTGATTAAGAATTTCCAGAATTAAAACCGTTGTTGTAACTACGGATTTGCCAGTTGCATGAAATTATATTATTTATTTATTAAATTTAACCTAGTGTTATTTACATTTTATATTTTTTTCAAACATTGATATCTGTAAAAAAATACTAGTACGTCTAAAATATGTCCTTTGTATCTGTTTGTTTTAACAGAAATGACTGCAACTTTTGATTTTTAAAAGTTACCCTAGGTATTTTTTACTTTGTTTGACAGAAAATGACATTCTGTATAGAATGACATATCATATGTCTACAGTTTTGGTTTGAGCCACTAGAATAAATGTAACAGCAACTTGACTCGATATACAATATAATAAAAAAACGGCGATGAAATGAAGATCGCCGTCATTTTTATGTAAAATTATATGGGGAATGTCATCGATCGTCATTTTCAAGCCAAATGGACACCTTTTTTTTCGATCATACGGTACCTAGCTCGGTACCAAGTAAGTAATATCAAGTTATTCGTAAAAAATCGTTAAAAATACAGTTTGGGCATCTTTTAACAGGTAAAAAAGACACAAAAACATTAGTCGATCAAATCAATTTTTCCAAGGCTCATTGATAAAAAATAGTGGTTTTAACATAGCCATTCTAGTTTGGTTATTTTTTTAACTGACAATATAAAAAGTTGACTTCTGATATGTCATTCTATTCCAAATGTCATTTTCTCGAATAAAATCATCTCTTCATATCAATATACCGTATGATCGAATAAAAACGGCGTCAGCGATGGCTATGAAATGAAGATCGCTGTCATTTTAAATGTAAAATTATATGGGAAATGTCATCAATCGTCATTTCCAAGCCAACTGGACGCCGTTTTTTTCGATCATACGGTATCTCTTCATTAAATAAAGTAAAAAAAATACCCATGGTACCATTTAAAAATCAAAACTTGTAGTCATTTTCGGTGACAGGAAGTGACCGAAACTAACTGTACGGCTACGAATACGGCTATCAACCTCTATTTATGTCCTATACTAAAATACCAAATCTCGTTTTTCTGTCTAAAAAAAATATGAAAGTTATCGGGGTGAGCCACTTTTGAAACTCATCCGGTATGTTGTATAATATAATTAATAATCTATTTTTTTATTTGACATTAATGATTTTGTATCAATAAAAACGTATTTTTTAAAATGTATTTATTTTTTTCTAGCTACAACATTTAGATACAGCCAAATTGTCGTCTAGACTGAATTTAAACCAAGGCTCAACAGTTTCAACGCCAAGCACACCAATGGTGGACACTTTGCCTACCATCAACAATAATTCCGACAAAAATCAAGAAGTTACCAACAATAACAAAGAAGAAATTTCCTTTCCCTTAACACCATCAGGTAAAGTATTTAGTTGTGCTTGATTCTTAGATTTTCCTAAAAGTCTTCTAAAAATAATAATACCAATATGATATTCTAAAAAAACTAGACAAGAAAATGTTACTTTATTATTGTATCTTCTTTCTCAGCCTGGTCCCATCCAGTGTTGGATATAGACCTCTTCTAGGTTTTTCCATGCTTCGCGATCTTTATCCAATCTCATCCATTGTCTTTTTGCCACTTTTCTAACGTCATCAACCCATCTCTTTTTTGGTCGGCCTACTTCTTGTTGTTTCCCTAGGTCTCTATAGTATGACTTTTTAGGGTCATCGGTTTGGATCCCGTCTTACCACATGTCCGATCCATTGCCATTTCAGACTTGCCACTTTTTGAACAACATCTATTACTTTCGTCTTTTCAAGTATGTGGGTTTTCCGTATTTTTTCTGAGATGGTGACTCCTAACATGATTCTCTGCATGGCTCTCTGTGCAACTCGTAGTTGTTTTTACTGTTTTTCGGGTAATTGCCATAGTCTCTCAGCACAGGTAGGATGCAGCTGTCGTAAGCCTTTTTCTTTAGGTTCACCTTTTTCTTTAGGTTTGACCTGATTTGGGTACCTTTTTACCTTTGAAAATATTGCTCATATTTCCAAATGCTACACATACCAAATGGATTCTGCTTTTGATCTCCGTATTTTGGTTCTCTGTACCCAGCTTGATTTTATGATCTAAATAGGTATATATAATGGTTCACGCTTTCAATAACAATGTTGTCTACGGTAATGTTCTGGCTATTGTTGCTCATTATCTTGCTTATTGTTATCACCATTTTCTTCACTTCATTTTAAGGCCAATTCTCAAAATAAAAACAATTAGTTGTATACTGAAGATGTCTTCGTATGTTTTTATAGAGGTCTATTAATTTTTTATAATGTTTTTATAAAGATTATAAAGAGTAGTGTCCTTTAATTTTAATTCAAATAATTATAATAACTTTTTTCATCAGCACAATAATGCTGTATCCATTTCATAAATTATAATTATTAACTGAATGCCTTTTTGCAGCAAACCGATGATAATAAAAAGACTATTGTAACTACTTCCACATGCTTTTAACTCAACTGGGCGAAATAAAATGCTGAATTTGAAATATCTGAAAAATCGACATTTTAAAATAGAAAACAGCCATCGACACTTAAAGTGTTGAAATCATTTTCTAGCCCAGTTCCAATTATTAATTCCACACTTTCGAAAGCCTTAAACCGTTGATTGAAAGAATTGGTTGCTTATTTCTTTCAATCAACGCTAAAACTATGTGTCGACTAATACGATTAATAGTAGCTTTTAATTAAACCTGTCGAAGGAAATATTTATGAAATATTAACGTTGCATTTTCATTTACAGAGGCGTTACGTTTGTACGGCAATCGTCTGACAGAACACGAAAAGACTGAACTTTCCACGGAGAAGTATTCAAAAATATGGTACCTCGGCTTGGACGCTTGCAAAATTCACGGCGAATATGGCGGCGTTCAAAATGGTGGCTACGATGACGAAAGCGGAAGTTATACTAAGGTAGGTTGTAATTTTGATTATCTCAAAACTGATATTAACCCAATAATTATTCCTGTTTAAATGCGATGAAAAGGATAATTTTATTTGCTTGAAACTTAAGGAAAGAAGCAAGTTTTTGTAAACTTGTCTTAAATGCTCGCAAGTAAATGCCCTTCAAGATTTTGCTCGATAATGCTTCTATCGGGTGCGTCTCAAAAGCAGCTCACCCCTATAACTTTTGTATTTTTTCAGTTAAAAAAACGAGATTTGGTACGTTGGTATATGACATAATTTAGGATTGATTGACGTATTCAATTATTTTTGGTCACTTCCTGTTTCACCGGAAATGACTACAACTTGATTAGTACGTGATTTTTAAATGACACACTTGGTATTTTTTTACTATATTCGATAGAAAACGAGACTCTGAATAGAATGACATATCATATGTCAATTTTTGACATTTTAGCATATGGTTTATTTGCAATTGTAACATGCGGTATATACTAATGAGCCATACTTGTTCTATTTGAAAAAAATTGAGTTATTATTAAAAATACGATTTGGGCATCTTTTACTAAAGACACGAAAAACCGAGCGAAAAACGTTAGACGATCAAATCTGTTTTTCCAAGCCGCCTTGTCAAAAGTTGGCATATGATGTGTCACTCTAGTCAGAGTGTAATTTTCTATCGAATAAAGTAAAAATATACCGAGGATGTCATTTAAATATAAAAATTTGTAGTCATTTCCGGTGGAACAGGAAGTGACCAAAAACAATTGAATACGTCAATCAATCCTAATTTATATCATGTAGTAACATATAAAATCTCGTTTGTAATCTGAAAAAATAAAAAAGTTATAGGGGTGAGCCACTTTTCAGTTCAATATCTTAATAAAATGTATTTTAAAACCAAGAATTCAAATTGAAATCGATTTGTATATTTTGTTACTTTGTATTTGTCTTAGTTTTTCATTTCCCCACTGACTCATCGATTTAACAAAATATATTGAGCAGCAACACATTTGCAACGCGGAATTTGTAAATACGAATTCTCTGTATAAATTGGTACTCAAGAGCTCTAATGGGCCGATAAAATTCTAGGGCATAGTGCCAACAAGGATTGGCAATGTTTATTTAGAAAATAATTGGGTTTACGTCCCATTTTGATCCGCCGAAAGTGCGGTTTCTTAAACTCACAAACAGATGTCAGTTTGCGCGTTCCGCAACACGCATTGTGTAACCGAGAAAGATTTTCAGTGAAATTACGAAAATATCAATTGCCGAGACCTATTTTGTTTGATCTATGTAGGCTTAATATTGATTCGTTTAAGAGTTATTTTATTTTGCATCTGACATCACGTAAACCTTCAACTTTATTATAATTAAGTTGTAAATAAATTGAAACATTACAAAAACTAGCCAAATTTTTTTATGTTTCGTAACTTTACATTTTGTAATCGGATTTGAATGATTATAGTATCAGTTTGAACGTTAATTTATTGGCATTATTCAATATGCTGCCGAAGTTTCCGGAATACAATTCGGACCACCCTGTATACAGGGTGGTCCGAACTGTATTCCGGCAACTTCATATTCTGCAGATGAAAATAAGTGAAAAAGTTCGTATAAATGTATGTTCTTAAATGCCTAGTTTCGAAGATACAGGGTGTAGAAGTTTAATTTTTATTTCAATTTTTTTCCAAATAATTTATGAAGTAACGCCAATATTTGGATGAAAATTGGTGTCTGGTAGTTTTTTGACATGATAAATTTGGATGTCATTATGACTGCTATTTGTAGAGGGCGCCACCTACATGTGTTTTAAATGATTTGAAGTGTAATACCTTTCGCCCGTACTTGTATCAAACTACATAGTGACAAAATATACATTTCCCCGACTTTTTACGTCAAAAATATCTCTGGGTAAAAATTGCTACGAGCAATCGTTCTCAAGATATATCAAGATTTTTTTTTAGAATGAAAATAGTCAATAAATGTAATTATTGACAAAAATAAACACGTTGACTAGATAGTTATTTGACTGAAATAATAAATTTGGGAAATTTTTATTTTTTTAAATTAATCATAAATTTTTCTGCAAAAAATGATGCTAAAACAGTTTTTGTTGAACTTTTGGCACAAAAACATTTCAAATTTATGATTTAAGTCTAATAACTATTTAGTCAACATGTTGAATTTATGTCAATCATGTCAGGTATTGATAATTTCGATTCCAAATATCTCGATAACCATGACTCGTAGCGATTTTGACCAAGAGACCTTTTTTACGCAGCAAAAATTCGTAAATTAAATAAGTCTTTTACTCAGTAGTTTTATACAGGTACGGACGGAAAGTTATTACTCTTCAAACCAGTTAAAAATATGTAGGTGGCGCCCTCTATAAGTAGGAGCCATATTGACATAAAAATCAAATTTCTCATGTCAAAAATGTCCCAAACACCAATTTTCATCCAAATATTGATGTTACTTCATAAATTATTTGGAAAAAATCGCAATAAAAAAGAAATTTCTACACCCTGTATCTTCAAAACTAAGCATTTTAGAACATACATTTATACGAACTTTTTTAATTATTTTTATGCGTAGAATATGCTGCCGAAGTTTCCGGAATACAGTTCGGACCACCCTGTATAGCTTGATGTACAGCTTGACCTATAGCTTGATAAATATCAGGCTATACAAATTATTTTATTTACAACTAATACCATAATCATAAAAATCAGATTACAAATTCAAAAGTTATGAAACATCAAACTTAGGGTGGTAAAATTTTAGGGTGGCGGAAATTTGTGCTGGGGAGTTTATATATAAAAAGAGTTTAAAAAATAAAAAATAAATAAGGTTACATTAAAAATATCTAAACAAAAACATGCTGTATCTGCAGCACCTTTTTGAAGTACCCCGAATGCTCAAACTCAAAACTAATTTTATATTGTGCATATTTAACATTCGATTTAATATAAACTTCATCTAGTTCATATCTTACGTCAATTCATATCTTGATGATAAAAATGTTGATAATAGGTATTAATACTTTAACTTACCAAAGCTTTAAAAAATAAATGATCATTCTTTGAGACTTGACAATTTGCAAGTGTTTGTTAATTGTATTTTTACCTATAATCGATTGATTATCAGCATACATATACTTTTTACTGAAGAAAACAAAAGAAGAATGCTCTAGAATTTGTCGTAACATTTTAAACTATCTTAATTTATATATTGCATGCTCTAATCGATGGTTACTAGTTAGATACAACCAAGCTTAATTACAGAGCTTACTCTAGATCCCATCTCAATAATACATGTTTAACATGTTAGTTCGTGTTTAGCTTGTCTACTGCTTTACACTTGAATGATCTTCTTGAACGACGTAGCATCTTTTCTTTTAGTTTGGTACTGACACAGACTTTTGTTTTGTTATGTCTTATTACCAAATGTATAATTTCATACTTATTTCTTTTCTTAAAGATAGATAAAACGATGAGATGAAACAGATTAATGAACGATTTACAGAGATCAAATTATAATTAAGTTTAGCCTATTGGTATTTTACAGTTAATTCTCATTAATGACTTCCTACCAGAGAAATTTTCTTATGAAGGAAAGAATTGCTACTTTAGAATTTATAAACAGTGCATATCTCAGGTTATTCCAGTCAATATTATCATAGTAAATAATTCACATAATCAATTCTCTTCCATTTTTCTTCTATTTTTAATTTTAATAATTTTTATATTATTGCCAATAATATTTTGTATGCTGCACAGTAATAACTTAATTACGTAGTAGTGGTCATTTAGAAAAAGTAAAAAGTGTCGATGTGAAATTTAAACATTAAACATGATGCAAAATTGGTATAATATAACAACTTATTCAGTATATTAAGATTTGTTCATTTACACTGAACTTCGTTAGAGTTTGGTAATATAATTAGAAGGTATTTGAATAACGTGAAAGGAAAACGATCTCTCTATTTTAGAAATATTTTAAGCTCACTGTAGAAGTTTGTTTTCCACATTTATTTTCCAAATTCTTACAAGCCCGAATTTGCAGAAATTCATGCCAACAACACCATATATCAGGAAAACTCATAAATCAAACGTCTGCTAAGCTTCTGGTTGATAAGTTGTATTTTAAAATCAAATGCGGGAAACCACCGTTCGAAATCTGTATTTTCCGTGCTATTTTATTTTTTAAAAACTAAAGTAATCAAACGTCTAAAAATATCTGAGATCCAAGAAATTCCATTTTTGAAGCCGTTTTTCTATAAATATTTACGAACTTACAAACTCTATTTCCAATCTTATATTTGATGTTGGCATTTGACATCGGACATACGAAGTATCTTTTCATCCGAATGAGCGCTGTATGCTCGACGGCAAACTCGAAATCTCAGAGAAATACGTGAATCAAGAGAAATTGTATTCATATGTCCATGATAGTTCTGAAATACGTGTTTTTTGATAATGTCATTTCTCGAAAAGAGTCTGGGTTTTTCGCCACTGACAGAGAAATCTACAAAATATAAAAAATATGTCTCGTAAATGAAATGCTTGTTGGTAACACAAATTTGTTTTATTACTAAATAGCCATTGATAAGTATAACTTTTTTTGGGCTAGGGATTCAGGTGGCAGCTTTGCTGTAAAAAATGTCAAGCTGCCCTATTTATTTATTTATTTCCTGACATTGTCATTCGTTTTGATACTCTTGTTTTGTATTACAATTTTTTGGTTTAAATGATTTGTGTTGTGATTATTTAAGTTTAAAAATGTTTATTAGCAGACCTTGTAGTCGAACATTATTCTGTTTAGAACCTATTTTAGTGCCAAGTGTACAAGATAGCTTAATAGCACTAAAAGACTCATCGGGACTATATTAGAATATTTTGAACGGGAAAGCGTTAGTAATATCCCTTCATGTCCCGTATGTGCTGTTAAGAAGATGAGTTTTGCTGATGTAAATATTATTAATTTATTTTTGTTTCCTAAAATAT